GTGTAGCATTGTATCCCATTCAAGCTGTAAAAGCTTTTGGCGAGTGACCAAACTTGTGTGAGGTCTCGCGTTGTCTTGGTGAAACACTACACCTTTCCTGTTGATTAGTTCTGACCTTTTCTGTTGAAGTGCATCATTCAGTTTGTCGTTGGGCACCAACCAAAAACTACTGCGTAAAATTAATTGGAATTTTTCACACACAAGCCTTGCTATATGAGCTCTCAAAGCATATAAAAATTATACGGCTTAAATGTGAAGTTGGGTGCAAAAGAATACAATTAAATCCTCTGTCGGGAAAAAACGAAATGACTTTCCGAACAACCCTATAGGTTACAACAGTACAACATCTTTTATTGTTTGAAAAACCATTCGGTCTGCAATTGTAGGAGTCATTGATCGCGGGACATAATCTAGTGTTCTAGATCTAGAGGTCTAAAGTCACAACTTGCTGACTCGATTCCTAGCTTGTTTGTCCCAGTCCAACATTTTTTGTTGTTTCCTTAGTAGGACGTAATATTCCACAGATAATTTTCACTTCTCATAAGTCCCGATTTCGTTCGTCCCATCTTCCTCTTCCTAACCGACATCCACCCAATCCCAAAGTCTGAAAACGGCTCTACCTTCAGGCTTTGCAGCAGAGAGTGTAAGTTTTTACCAGTCCTTTAGGAAGCACCAAAAACCGCGATTCTCCCTGAGTTCAAATTCAGCAAATATGGGACAAATACCAACTAGGGATCAAGGCCGTAGATCTGAGTATTGCTGATTGATGTCATGCACCAAGATGACCTCTATGCTTAATACCTAACAACAGGTCTCAACGCTTAGAAATTACAACTCCATTGTTAATCATGTTTAAATTTTATTTATAAATAATGCAATTACAATTATTACAAGCAATTAATATAAGCATAAATAACGTATATATTCACAGATGAGAATATTTTTACACTTCAAATTGGCATAATAAGTAATTAGGAGCTTCCAGCAAAAATGGCGACTGCCAATTGGGGACTATTAACTCCGGTGGTGGTTGTTGCAAGTTGACAATAATAAGACTCGACTGGGTAATAAATATACGAACTGTTAAAAGCAACAAACCAACTGAAATTACTGTGGGTTGCTGCAAAGAGTTCGGAAAGTGCACGAGCCCTTACAGAATTACTTTGGTACAACTCGAATACGTCTGATAAATATTCGGCTGCTTCCACTTGCCATCTTACTGGCATGTTGCTCTCAGCCACCGTCGTTGTAAAAGGAGAAATGGCGCTCTGCAAAAATCATAACGCAAATCAAACATTATAAACAAGAACTTCTGCAAACTAGGCGAATGGAGTGAAGTACGTAAGTGCAATTTTTGGCTAACAAATATGCCCGGTACTATATGAAACACTTTGAAATTCAATATTAATGTGAAAAATTGACGCGTCAGCATGAGAGGTACAATCCACGTCCTTAACTATTTCATCATCCTTTACCTCTATTCCTTCTAACTCCTAATATGTCTCCGACCAAAGCTTTATGCCTGAGAAGGTGCCCTATCAACCTATCTCGCCTATTTTTTATTGACTTCCATAGAGTCCTCTGTTCTCCTATTCTTTCTAACACTTTTAATTTCTAACTCTCCACGGTATCTTCATCATTCGCTTGTAACACCAAATTCGAACGCTTCTAACCTTTTCTTTTCTGCCGCGCCCACCGTCCATGTTTCGCACCCTTACAGCATCGCGCTCCAAACATACACCATTAACAACCTTTTTCGAATTTCTAAATTAACCGTTTGCGAGCATAGAAGTGACTTCCTTTTATTAAAGGCGATTCGACCCTGCTCTATCCTCTGCTTTATATCCCTACTTGTCTTTTCGTCCTAACTTATCTGACTTCCTAGATACCTAAAATCAGCCACTTTTTCTAATTTTCGTCTCCTATCTTTATATTCGCTTTTTCCTACTTTTTGTTCCCTTGTATACCAGTATTTTTGTTTTACTTTTATTTATCTTTTTACAATACTGTTTTGTCAATATCGCTTCCATTTTATTAAAAGCTATCTGTAACTCCTCCTTACTCGATGCTAATACTGCTATATAGAATTTTTACACTGTGCTATGGGTCTCGCAACCACACTATACATATAAACCGTTTTACAAATATGGATGAAAATTTGAAAAACTCTAATGTTTAAACATTTCAATCAATCGTTTTAAATTTATAAAATTTAATGGTGACTTCGCCATCATAAATTTATCCCAACGGTATTGTTATTAGTATATTGAAATGAGGTATACTTCGTTTATTTTCTCTAGTGATGTGCCACTTCCAATGTCTTGGATGCGCGCTTGCAAAATCGTAGATATGGAGAAAAAAGCTCATTATACTCTCGACTCTTGTTCATTAAACATACTTTTTCGTACAGTACCTGCCAAAAGTTTTGTTCAATCATGAATAGTAGTGGAGAAAACAAGCGTTAAAGCATGTAATATGTCTTCAAATATAAATAAACATCTCGTTGATATTTTCAGTACTAATTAGTAATAAAAAGGCAAATTTGAGCAATGCAATTGTAGTGGATAAAATGATCAATTTTTCCGTGCAGTTCTGTACGGATACTGTACGGATTATACGCTCCTCACCGGTTGAGAGTTTGGCCGAGAGTTGTCTGCTTTCTTTTCTGGCCTAGTGCTGTTCTTTTCTACTTTGCGCCGGTCAAAATAAAGGTCACATCACTAGAGAAACTAAACGAAGTATAAAAAGGAATGAAACTTACTGTACGCTCAATCTTGACGAGTCCTTCTGAATATTCAAAGAAGCTGAGAACTGAAACTATTGCGAACAAAACTTTGAACCACATTTTGGATGTTTTAATTTTTGCTGTTTTCGGTTAGGTATATACTTTAGCACAATATCTGTTATTATGGCGATGCTCTACAAGGTTTACTCTTAAATACTATCCTGATTTGCCAGTAAAACATGCTAAGATTATAATCGGAAATTAATATTAAAAATGTATGAGTTTACGGAGAACCCATTAAGGCTTTTAAAGGTAATGCAATTTTTATCGTTAGTTGAATTTCAAGAGANTTATTAAAAAAGGAGAAACGTCTGATAGAAACGGGGAAATAATTTTATCAACTGAGAGGCACTTTTAACATTTTAATAATAATAGAAGTAAATTAATTGTCATTTATCGTTAGATAAAGCAAGAGCTAAATATAGATCACGTATTATATTGTTTACTCTTAATTCGCTTTATTTATTACTTACTTTTGAATCATAGCATCCTTACAACCAAGACAGTTGTTGCTATTGTTATTAGGGTAGGTGAACTTCTTAAAAGTACAGACCCACAATATAGTATCTTAGAAAGGTACCTGCAGTTGCAATTGGCTCCTGCCATTCGATTTTTACTAATGATTTGGGCATGAGACGGGTCGTCGCGAAATTTGTACCAAAATTGCTCAATTTCAACCAAACACAACATCGCATTAACATTGCTAATGAGTTGTTGAACTCTGTCAGCGAAGACCCAAATTTTCTGAGAGAGGGTCATAACTGGTGACGAATCACAGGTTTATGGTTATGACTCGAAACCAAAGCTCAATCATCCCAACGGAAGCTGTCGCACGAGCCAAGACCGAAAAATGCGCGACAAGTTAGGTCGAATGTGAAGGTGTTGCTTAGGGTTTTCTTCGATTGTAGAGGCGTGGTGCTTCATGAGTTCTTGCCACAGGGTAGAACGGTCAATAAGGAATATTACCTGCAAGGTATGCGTAATTTGCGCGAAGCAATCTGCCAGAAACGCCCGGATTTGTGGAAGAACAAAAATTGGCTTTTGTGCCATGATAATCCCCCTGCTCATACATCGTTGCTTGTGCTTGAATTTTTGGCCAAAAACAACACACTAATAATGCTGCAGCCACCGTATTTCTCAAATCTGGCCCCCTGTGACTTTTCCTTGTTCCTGAAGCTGAAGAGGCCCATGAAAGGATGACGCTTCGCTACGATTGAGGAGATTACAGACGACATAAGGAGGATCTGAACAAGATCATAAATTTTTTGAAGTTCTTCGAGGATTGGAAAAAAACGTTGGCACAAGTGTATAATATCTAGTGGGGATTACTCCGAAGGGGACAAANTCATTTATCGTTAGATAAAGCAAGAGCTAAATATAGATCACGTATTATATTGTTTACTCTTAATTCGCTTTATTTATTACTTACTTTTGAATCATAGCATCCTTACAACCAAGACAGTTGTTGCTATTGTTATTAGGGTAGGTGAACTTCTTAAAAGTATAGACCCACAATATAGTATCTTGGAAAGATACCTGCAGTTGCAATTTGCTTCTACCATTCGATTTTTACTAATGATTTGGGCATGAGACGGGTCGCCGCGAAATTTGTACCAAAATTGCTCAATTTCAACCAAACACAACATCTCATTAACATTGCTAAAGAGCTGTCAGCGAAGACCCAAATTTGCTGAGAGAGGGTCATAACTGGTGACGAATCACAGGTTTATGGTTAAGACGTGGAAACCAAAGCTTAATCATCCCAATGGAAGCTGCCGCACGAGCCAAGACCGAAAAAAGCGCGTCAAGTTAGGTCGAATGTGAAGGTTTTGCTTAGGTTTTTCTTCGATTGTAGAGGCGTGGTGCATCATGAGTTCTTGCAACAGGGTAGAACGGTCAATAAGGAATATTACCTGCAAGGTATACGTAATTTGTGCGAAGGCCCGGATTTGTGAATGAACAAAAATTGGCTTTTGCACCATGATAACCCCCTGCTCACACATCGTTGCTTGTGCTCGAATTTTTGGCCAAAAACAACATACTAATAATGCCGCAGCCACCGTGTTTCCCGAATCTGGCCCCCTGTGATTTTTCCTTGTTCCTGAAGCTGAAGAGGCCCAGGAAAGGATGACGCTTCGCTACGATTGAGGAGATACAGACGGCATAAGGAGGAGCTGAACAAGATCACAAATTCTTCTTCGAGGATTGGAAAAAAACGTTGGCACAAGTGTATAATATTTGGTGGGGATTAGTTTGAAGGGGACAAAATAGAATAAATAATTTTTGAAAAAACACAAAATTCCAGACACTTTTGACCAGACCTGGTGTATTTTTTAATGCTGCACTAACTTAAATATAGTATTACTAGATTGTACCCGCGGCTATGCTTGCATTAATGTCCCAAATACATGTCAAATGTCATCGACAACCATGTAAAACTCATTTTTCTGTCCCTCTGGATCACTATTCCTTTTCTGTATAAAAGGTACTCTATGTCCTTTTCTGTATACATGACAATGTGCTTACAAAATTTCAAGATAGGTTTTATCCGCGACTTCACTGGCTTTTATGTCCTAGAAACGTGTTAATTATTATCGACGACTATCCCTTTCTATCCCTCGGAAACAGTATTTTTCATTTTCGATAAAAGGTGCCCTATGACTTTTTCTCTACCCTTCACAATGTGTGCACAAAACTTCATGATAGGTTTTACCCGCGGCTTTACGGGGTTGATGTCCTACATAAATAAGAGTCAAAGATCGTCGACGACCACATAAAACTAATTTTTCTGTATCTCTTTTCTGGATAAAAGGCACCCTATGTCCTTTTCTGTATCCCTGACAATGTGGGCACACGATTTCGTGAAGGGTTTTATCCACCAGCGTTTATGTCCTAAATATGTGTTGATGATTGTCAACGACCACATAAAACTAATTTTTCCTCAGGATAAGTCTTTTTTTCTGGATAAAGGGTACCGCCTATGTCCCTTTTTGTATCCGTCGCAATATGTGTACAAAAGGTGTGACATGGTTCACAATTTCTCTACTTTTGCTATGTATTGTAGATATTTCTAGTCTTGTTCCGATTTTAATGGCTACAAGTTAATTTTGCGATTAACCCTCGTATAATAAACGGCAATGCTTTTAAAATTTCCTATTTTAAATTTTAATTGTGACTGTTGGATATGCCAACTGAAAGTATTGAAAACATTGTATCGCCCTAGCTGTTTACCTAAACATAAACGGGCAGATGTTTTCTTCAGTTTTATAATTGAATTGAAATTGCACACGTCCAGTATTACATTTTAACCGTTTGTGAACTTCACTACATGGTGTTAATTTTGATTGACAAATGAGTTGCTATAAAAGTGTAGTATTACTGCTATTTTTACTCATAGAATTCGCAATGCTGTCAAACGATCATTTGGTAAGTATA